AAGCTAGTGAGAGAGTACGGCGATTAGTATTACCAGCAATGAGAAATGATGACTTAACTCGCAATATTCGTTACGATAGTTTATTAATAATATTTGCGAATTCCCTAAGTAAAAAATATAGACACTCATCGCATCATTTACCAATGATTCGAGCTCGATTGCGGCTTGTAAGTCGCCTACTGACAGAGATGAGAAATATTAATAATGATATAACATCTTTGACTTCTATGTACGATCCAAAATATTACGATACTTTTTTAGATGCCGTAAATATTGTTGCAAAATATAACAAAGAAAAAGATGTCTATGAAAAACCTGCCAATGCATCTAATCTTGGAACTTACGTAAAGAATATTGGTGAAATTTTAATAATGGAATGTATAAAAAATCATAACGACGCTACGAAAAAAAATACAGAAAACTTTTTAAAACTATTAACAGTTGATTATGGAGCAAGTGTTAATAAAACTGTAACCGAATCTCAAACTCAATTTAAAAGACATAAGATTACAAAACTTCCTACAATGGAAGACATAAAAATATTACGGAATCATCTACTAAAAGTGCAAAGAACATCGTACAATAGTTTAAAAAAGAAATTTTCATTATCTGCTTGGATGTCTCTTGGAAAAGCTACTTTAATATCAATGCAATTATTTAATCGCCGCCGGCCAGGAGAAACAGAACGAATATTAATTTCTGATTTTAAAACTCATTAGAGAATTAATGAAAGTATCGAAACTTTCAATAAATTATCTGAAGATAAAAGAGATCTAGCACAAAAATATGTACGATTTTGTTTACGAGGAAAGTTAGGAAGAACTGTTCCTATAATATTAGATGAAATTAATTTGGAATGTGTACAAATGTTTTTACAGTTTAGAAATAAAGCCAAAGTACACCCAGAAAATCCTTACTTATTTGGTATTCCAGGACATGATAAAGCTATTGATAAATATTTAAAGGCGTATCGAGCCATGTTGGATTTTGCTAAAGAGAGCGGAACCGAATTTCCTGATACATTACGTGGTACTACACTCAGAAAACATATAGCCACAATGGGAATTACTCTTAATTTAACAGACAATCAGATTACTGATCTGGCTCATTTCATGGGGCACCATGAGAAAATACATATGGAAATATACAGAAAACCGGAAATAGTTAAAGATATTACAGAAGTATCACAGCTTCTAGAGGCTGCACAAGGCGTAAGAGATGCAGCAAACAATTTAATGGGGAAAGCGACAGTGAGAATGAAATTGATAACAGCACAGAAATCACAGCTAGTGAAACGTTTAATAAAATTGATTATTTGCAACAATCGAGTGATAGTAAGTAGAAAACTTATTTTTGAAATATATAGATTCCTTGTTTCTGATTTTATATAACATATTTTTAATACAGGCTCATTATCAACCCCAACGTATAAAAAACGTACAAAGACTGAAATAAAAGCTGTAAAAAAAAAACGCAGATCAGAAGGTAAGGATGTAATTTACTGTGTATATTCTATCAAGAAGCCAATAGTTATTTGATATTGACACTAGAATCGCCGATGCCACTTTAGATCTGATGATCAATTTTCCTTTCTTGTATTAGATAGATACAGAATATTGAAAATATGTAAATATAATAAAAATAGAGTTCTAATAATA